CTCTATGAGTTGGAACTTGCTCCACAACACATAACCACCACCACCACCCTCTAGCGAGTTGTAATTTTATTTCACTTTATTAGCTACAAATTGCACTGTGGCTCTATAGGATAATTACTAGACTGAACCACAGAGTTGGGGGTTTGAGCTCACCAGTCACTCTGTGGGAGAAACATGAGGATTTCTGCTCTGGAAGAGATGTACAGCCTCAGAAACTCTATATACGGTCACTGAAAGTCAAAACTGACTCAGTGGTACTTAACAATAACTTTAATTTTCATTTTTTTGCAAATAGATAACCAGTTTTGTTAGTACTATTTGCTAAAGAGACTTCCTCTTTCCTATTTAATGAGTCTGGGCTGTTTGTCAAAGATCAGTTGCCCATTGGTAGATGGATTTATCTGGGTTCTCAGTTCTCTTCCACTTGTCTGTGTGTCATCGTTGTACTGTTACCAGGCTGTTTTGACTATTGTGGCTATGTGGTAGGCTTTGAGTTCAGAAAGTGTGAGGCCAGTAGCATGTTTTCAAAGAAGGGTCAAAGACAAAGATAAAGAACTTCATAAGAATCCCAGAAACAGGCCCATTTTCCATTTCTAGACATCATCTAGAAATGGAAAACTTCAAAGCTAAACTTCTCTGCTTCTAAACCTGTAATAAGCAGCTTTACTTTTTCAAGAAGTGTTTGGGACCTGTATATTTGATATTGTTGCAGGGAGCAATCATATTATTCTAATGACTTTCTCTGAATTAGATAATACTGGTTTCTTTGGTTTTGTTTTTATCATTGTCACCTAGGCTGGGAATGCATATTCTTTCCTCTTAGGAACAGAGATCTGTCCTTCCTAAACTTAAGAACCTTCTTTTAGAGACTCTTCCTGAGGTCATTGTCATTGTCATTGCTTAAGGAAGTCCTCCCATGACTTGCTCTCTTCAGGTGGCTTATTATTGCACAGTTAACCCAGTTTATATGACAGGGCTTCAAAAATTTAGTGGGAAAATTCCATTATCTTTTCATTCTTTTTTTTTTTTTCTTTTAAATTGAATATGATTATCTGTCTTTACCTACTAAGTCATTTTGGGGAAGCTATTAAACCAGAAAGATTTTCTGACTCCAACTTCTGGTGGCCCTACCTAAATGTCAGCACATTGCCTCAAAACTTTCTCCAAGGTTTTCTTCCCAAATAGTGTTCTACACTAATGGGCCTTGGTGATGTAGTAGGCAAAACATTGGGCTGCTAACCAAAAAGGTTGGTGGTTCAAACCCACTAACCACTAGTCAGGAAAATAATGACCCTGCCTGCTCCCATAAAAATGTACAGCTTCAGAAACTCCAAGGAGCAGTTCTGCTCTGTCTCAGAGGGTTGCTATGAGTTGTTATTGACTTGATGATGGTGGGCTTGGTTTGGGTTAGTGTTCTATACTAGATAGAAATCTCACACAGAAATTTAAAGACCGTATTTCCTTCTTCTCTTACTTGTGAAACCTGTGAGATCTGGAATTCAACATGATTGCCTTGTTTTTCTGGGTCTTGCAAGTTGTCCATCTTTGGCAGGTTTCAGCCTTAGACTTTTCTGTCACTCTGGTTTAGTGGAAAATATTTTGAGTTTTCCTAGTCTGACCAGGCTTCCCCTTACGCAGATTCCAGCTTTCACAGACTTTACTGTATATGTTTGCTAAAAGGAAATCATTTTCTATATACTGTTGTTAAGTGCCATCGAGTCGGTTCCGATCCATAACGACCCTGTATAGGGTTTCCGAGGAGCAGCTGGTAAGGTTGAACTGCCATTGCAGTTCAAACAGCTTTGCAATCTGGTACATTAGCCCACAGCAGCACACCGGGACTTCTTTATATATACTGACTATATACACATACATATAAGGAGACCTGGTGTGGCGCTGTGAGTTAATGTGTCAGACTGCAAAGTCGTTTGAACTACAAGGTCGATGGTTCAAGCTCACTAGCTACTCTTCGGAAACCCTATACAGGATGTATACATATCAGTATCAATATCTATATATCTGTGTGTGTGTATGTGTGTGTGTGTGTGTGTGTGTGTATGCACTAGCACTATAGGGTAATCACTGGATTACTAAACTACAACATCCATGATTCAATCCCACCAGCCATTCCTTAGATTTAAAAATACTCTTAAAGTTACAATCAATTAACTAAATTATCTAATATACTTATATATTGATTAAATTGACCAATAAATATCAAATTAGTATCTCTGCCCCCGTTTTTGTTTATAAATAAAAGAATTTATAAAACCAAAAATATATCTTGGGCTAGTTAGTATTATTAAGCTAATTATTATCCTGTACCCGTGATGCTTCAGCCAATATTAGAATCACCTGAGGGCGATTGCTCACCCTCCACTTCACAACTTGATTGTATTGGTCTGCAGTGGTTCACGACTCTGTTTCTATCAAGTTTCCAGATCCTAATGTTGCTTCTGCCCTAAGATAATCTCTTGATAACTCAGATACTACAAACATTTTTCTCGTATTTATAACAGGATCAAGCATTCTGTGAATTGACGTATCTCAATGTCTATTATTGAGCTTTGGTAGGGCAGGCATGCAGTTATTTTTAAAGAAGAGAAGATAGAGGGTCATTTATTTTCTCTATTAGTGTTGCATATGTGTTCATCTGGCGAGGTCCATGTGTGTAGTCGTCTGTTATACTGTCTAAAGAAGGTATTTGAAATAAATAAATCATTTGTCTT